CAAAGTCCACATCGGACCAAAAAACTTTAGGTATATAAACAGCTAACCCTTGTCTTTAGATTCAGTATCAATTTGCTTCTCCTGAAGATGCTAACCTTGTTAGCGAAACGCGCGTCGAGTGCAAAAAATATCAGTTTGGTGTTAGGGTAATTGATCTCTAGAAAAAGTTTTCAAAAATCGGTTTGCAAAACCACTCACTACCTCACCTTGCCCCACGAACACACGGCACTGATAAAGAAATATTGTGCCAGTCCAGTTAGCCGAGCCTTTACTCCTCAACTACATTTGATAGCACGTTTTCTAACTATCTGGGCGAATAGGGGCCACAGGCAAGAAATGTTTATGACTGTACTCTTATTTTTATTGCCGTTCCAATTGGGAATGGATAGACTATACTTATGAAGCCATGCGCAACGGCGACCGGCGAAGCGACCGGCGAAATGTACCAAGCCAACCGCGTGGGCGACTTGCAGCGCGACGGGCGAGTAAAACAAATACATGAATCAGTACGGTGCGAGCCACGAAGTCGAGCGGCAGTCGCGGCGAATAGTGCAGTGATCATACGAGTTTAGTTGAACACCGAGACTTTTATTGCTGAAGTACTAGCTAGACCATCTATTTGGAAGACTGATTAAAACGTTAGACATTCTACCGGCATTCTACCGGCAATAACAAGTTATAAGTTGTTTTTTGTTTTAGTTGTACGGAAAATTACTGTAATTTAATTTAGATTTTTGCAATGAATAACATAATTATCTGGAAGTGTTTTTATTCCATGAAATATCAATATACAGGGCAACATTCAATTAGCTGATAATATTTTGGGCAAAGATAGTTCCAATTAAATTTAGTTATAAAAAAATTTGCGACTATCACGTTCTTGGGAAAAGTTGTTCACACTGATGGATACTATAGGTAGATCTCCAAAATATGATCAGCTAATTAAATATTACCTCTATACATAGGTATATAGATGAATACATAATGTAGATTAATATAGATGGATATGTATAGATAGGTAAGTACATACCTTAATGTCAAAAACAATTTTTCAGCGGCACTTAAAATTCTATTAGCATTAAATTTTTTCTCCGATTCTGGTTGAATATTCATAAGAATATAATCGAAGGTTTCAATGCTCATCCTGGTATACTCAAAACATTTTTCTGGATATAATCAGTATTTCTCGTACTTTTTGTGGAATCCTCCATCTATACCCCGATTCTTATTCAAATCATGTACTCCACAATCTCTTACAAATATTAGGTCTTGAACCAAAAAACTATTACTTTCCAAGCAATATCGAGATAATTTCGATAAAGAAATTTCGCTGTCCGACTATTGGTCGCGGCGGCGAACGTGACTACCCGTGTCCTGCAAACGGTGTCGCACCGATCCCCGTGGCCTGGCTGTAAGGACTCGAAACATTTGGTTGAGTACTTATCATTAATAAAATTGTTTCAGGTTGTTTCGAAAAAGATAGCTAAATACAAGAAGGATGTGGAATTCAAGCAATCTTGTACAGATGCTGAGATTGAAGAAGGTACTATGTTTTTTTATTAGGTAATGAGTGTTGGAAGTTTCTGGTTTGTCTCGTATGTCTCCGGAACCAAAGTGTTCTGGAATCATTCGATAATACTCAGAAATATACAACTCTGCTACGAGTTAACCACATCTTTATCTCTTACTATTTATGAGTTTCCCAATCAGTATTTAAATTTGAAATGCCCTTTACATAAAGAGAACAAATTGTATCGTATTTTTTTACAAAATAACTGAAGGTTGATAAAATGATATAAGGTGAAGTGGAGTATATGTGATAATGGGGCAATTGTGATAGCAGGTTTGGAAATCGCTATTTAAATATGTATGCTGGTGCCACCTATCAGAACTAGCCCAAAATATGCTAGTCTAGCGCGCCACCACTAGAAACCGTCGAAATTCAAACTTGGATTTCAGTTGAGTATAGACAAATGAAGAGTGCGTTTCGCTTTTACACAGAGTTTTTTATACATTTACTCCGTTCGTGAAGTAATATATTGTTTTTTCGGTAAGTATTAACATTAATCTAATTTTTAATCACTAAGTAGTTAATAGTAGTTTGGGAAAACATATTGTATAATTTATTTAAAACAAAAACTTAATATTAACCTCAAAATGTAAATATAACACATTTGCCCCTTGAAATTGTATTGTTGGGGTGAATGTATTATTATAGGTTGGGTCAAATGTGTCATAGTATATCATATTTACCCCGTTTATATAACTTCCTAGATTTAGAAGTGGATTGCTTGAATAGTTAATTGAAACAGTTTAAAAACTTTTTTGTTACAGATAATATCATGGTTCGCTGCTACAAAAGAAAAACATCAAATGAAGAAAAATATTTGGCAGCTGATCCCAACACTGCAATGTTTAATGTTCTATCAGGCCGAACATCAATATATAAGGCAGCAAAATTGTACAAAATACCATAGGTACGTGACACTACATTCCCGTGTAAAAGGAAAACGGGGAGCAAAAAAAGCAACTAAAGGACGTCCAACATCGATTTCTGCTGCTGATGAAGTTAGATTAGCCATGGTCTCAAAACGATGGAGAAGTGGGGGTACGGCTTATCAAGAAAAGAAGTTTTAGAAATTGTGGGAAACTTTGTTAAGACTAACCACATTGAAACTAATTTCAAGGATGGAGTTCCGGGCGAAGATTGGTTTTTGGGGTTTAAACGGCGTCACAGATTAAGTATAAAAGTTCCATAAAACGTGGAATATGCTCGCAAGAAGGCTCTCGACCTTTTTTCAATTTACCAATATTTTGATTTATCAAAATCAATAATGGACGAACACGGCCTTCACGACAAGACAAAAGTAGTGGGAGGTATAAATGCACCTTCGTCAAGAACAATTAGTTTTCCTGGGAAAGAAAATACCACCATTGCTCTAATGTGTAGTGCAGCTGGTCAAAAAGCTCCACCACTAATTATTTATAAAGGTTAACAAGGATTTATCAAGAATTGAAAATGTATATGTCGGATGTTGGGTATTGGTGCAATATTGCTCAAAATAGAAAATTAACTATTATGTGGGACTTGTATCAGAACATATGGATGATGGATGGATAGTTAAATTTACACGACCTAAAGGAAATAAATTTGTATGGCCAACAATTGCCGACATTGATACTGTACTTCAACAGGATATTATACAAGTACTTCCCGATCCTATCGTTGATAGACGTGGAATGTACGAATTTCCCGTTGCATTTAAAAACTTTAACATTCAGCATTAACTTCAAGACATCTGGGAGTATTTTGTGTTTGATTTTATTTTCTTTTTGTTTCCTTTCTTCTGACATTGTTTTCTAAAAGCTCATATTTTTTGTATTGTTTCAACAAAATAAATTATGAAAAATAACAAAAACAGAGAGCTTGAATTGATTTTTTATACAATAGCCCCAGACTACGAAATATACTATTTCCTACAAAAATATAAACTTTCGTCACATTTGCCCCAGCACCTGGGGTAAATCTGATATATTGACATGATTTTAAAAAATCAAGAATTTCATCTAATAATTATTTTTTAAATTTTTCAGAACCTGTATACAAACGATTGGCCTTTTTGGACTTGATTCTGAAGAATTCGGTTTTCACAGAACTGGAATTGAGAGAAGAAGTCGATATAATGTTGGCAGCAGTGAGTTGATGTTTCCATTATGATTTCAGAAGAATATCAAATCTAAAAGATGATATCTTGATATATTTTTATTTCTCACAATCCCATCGAGACACTGACAAAAACATTAAAAAAAGTCGTATCAGTCAATTCATTAATCACAAAGTAAAAGAAGTTTTCACAAATGAAATTTTGGTGTGGATAAAAATTGATTATTCCCATTGGCAATCCATTAATGCGTGAAGAATTTATCCTCCACAGAAAGGAGCTTTCAAGAAACAGCATCATACTGATTTCATATTCGATTTTCCTAGCTTTTCCTAGAAGTCAGTCAAGGTCGTCCCTAAACACGAAAAGGAAATTTGAAATAACCCAGCAAATTGTTGCTCCAAGCAGTTCTACTTTCTGGAAAATTCTGCCCAGTGCCTCTATTCGGTTTCATATCAAAACGATAGTATACTTAGTATAAAAATGATATGAGAAAATTTGTCCAACATAACTCTGTAATCAAAACTTACAGCAATGTGTACAGTTCAATTGATTCAAGAATCAAGATTCAGGAACTGAAGATAACGTAAACTTCTTGGAGTTCATCCAGAACCGAAACTGCTATGGGAATCATATATTGACATTGTATGCGGAATGCTTTGCAGTCCTATATGTTTACTACGTACACTGCTTGAAACAGTGTAGGAAGAACCTCCAAACCAGCCTATCTTGATTTGATTCACTTGATTTTTACCTATGCTTTTCCTCCGTGCCGCCATTTCCAACATGTTTTTGAAGTTTTCAGTTTGCTGAGGAGAGCTCACGAACCACAATAATTACGCGAGGGGTCCTTCTGACTTATATACAGTGCATTTCTTTAATTTCCCATCCTCCCCTTTTATTTTTTGAAGGGGTCAACTGAAAAAATTGAAATTTGGGATAATGCATGAGTACTTTGTTTTGAAGTGTAATTCACAGATGAAACTTTCAAGATGGCGACTAGGCACCATCTGGAAAAAAAAATTAAATGGAAAGGGGGGGTCTTGTGACACATCGTTTTGAAGCTTCTGTCAGATGCTTCACAACCCTAGAATATAATGTCAATATCTTCAACTACTACAAAATGGCGGAACTTTCAATAATTGCCTGAATACATTGACATTTAACTAGATAATATGGTTGCCTTGAACTTCTTGACATATGAACAGCCTATCCGATATTCCACGGCGAACATTTTCTAATACAGTAACGTCAATATCTCTACAAATATTTATTGTTTTATGCGGTATATCCAACATTGAAGCAGGTTCAGTTTTGTACACCTTTTGCTTCAAATAGCCCCATAAAAAAAGTTCAAAGGTGTCAAATCTGTCGAGCGGGCTGGCCATTTTGTAGGACCTCGACGGCCAATCCATCGACCGGGGAAAGTAGTACCTATCCAAAAAGTTTCTTACTTGTCTGGAGTAATGTGGTGGTACTTCATCTTGTTGGAATACAATATCCATATCGAATTCATCAGGATTCGCTTCGACAATTTCAGTGATGAGAGGGTCAACAGTAGTTTCCAGCATATTCAAATACAGTTTCCCTTTTGAATTTTAATCAATAAATAGAAATCCTACAATATGATTTCCCAATATTCCTGCCCAAAAGTTAACTTTTTCTGGATATTGAGTATGTGTTTCCCGGAAAATGTGAGAGTTGGTGTCACTCCAATAACAGAAAGTTTGTCTGTGAACATTGCCGTTTAAGAAAAATGTACATTCGTCACTAAAACAAATATTGTGGAGATGGGTGGGATGCCTTGCAATGGTTTCCGTCATGATTTCGCAGAATTCTCTTCTTCGATCAGGTTCATCTTCAGTTAATTGGTGTACCATTTTAATTTTGTATGGATGATACCTATTCCTTTTCAAAAGTCTCCACACAGTAGAAGGAGACACCTCACTAACATTCGCGACGGAATAAGTAGACTGTTCAGGTTTTACTACCACCTCACCAATTATTTGCACTTGCTGTTCTTCCGGAATGGGGGGGCTTTTTGTTATATACACTACTTTAGTTGTAAATTTGGATACAAGTTCCCTCAAATATTTTCTACAGATAGGACGATTCGGAAAACGTTCATTGAAAATCCTTTCGGTCTCGTGAAAATTAGGTACGCTTCGCACCGTAAATGAAAGTCGCTTCAATTTTTTTTTCAATAGACGATAATTCACCATTTCAGAGATTGTTCACGTGGTACCTTTCTACTAGTAAAACCGAAAACTAAATGAGAATATTCTAACTGAACAATGATGTTCATTGCCGTACTGACATTTTTTGACGTTTTTATAAACAAAAAATAACTTAACAAACCTTATCGGGTTGTTGGATTTGCCATATGGCAGATAAAAAGGAATATTTCTAGAAATATCGATATTAATGTGTTTGTCTTCAGGAAATTATTGAATGTTCCGCCATTTTGTAGTAGGTGAATATATTAACTTCATATTCTAGGGTTGTGAAGTATTCATCAGGAGCTTCAAAATAACGTGTCACAAGACCCACTTTTCTATTCAATTTTTTTCCCAGATGGCACCCAGTCGCCATCTTGAAAGTTTTATCTGTCAATGTTACTTCGAAATAAAGTATTCATGCATTAATTTCATTATCGCATATTTTAATATTTTGAGTTGACCCGTTCAAAAAATAAAGTGAAACCGAGCACAAAGGTTGGGTTTTGAATATCTGAGAGAGTTAACAATAAATACAGACAGCAAACACTTGAATTCTCTTGCTCAGAATAATTGGATTTCGAATTCAAGGGTGTAGGAATCTCAATCGTTTTTGTACGGTTTAATCTCTGGAAGTGGAATATCTCCTCTAACTTTAGATTTTGAGTAACCCGATGACCTCTCGTTTTCTAAAAGAAAAATTTGATATCTGGTTGATAGCTGGACCTAGGTCTGTTTCACTATCTTCTCTATCGATGCACTGTATTACATCCGGGTCTGACCCCTCTGGACCCCTATGTTAAGGAAGTTGCGTTAATGGCCATGTTACGATTGCGCACGGCTGGTGTAAACCCCGAAGTAGGAATGGGTCAATTGAGGCTGGGCCTATGGCGAGAAGAGTTTACTGCGCAACCTCTGCTGCAGGCAACCAGTGATGCAACTGAACCCAGGTTTGTGTTTAATAAACCCTACAAAATACAAACTAAGCAGAACACAGATGCTACAAATGCAATACGCATATATACAGACGGCTCAAACACCTAAGAAGGCTTAGGATGAAGAGTGCACTCCAGATCAGTAAGCCTAAGGATTGAGTGGGGAATGAGAAGAAATACCAGCGTGTTACAAACAGAACTGGCTGGTATCTCAATCGCCACAAAAGAAATAAGCAGAGAAAGAATATCAGGCATGAACATAATAATCTGCACTGGCAGCAGACAAGCCCTATTAGCCTTGAACAGACAACGTGTAACCTCAGGGCTAGTACTAGAGTGTCACCAAGATTTATCCAAAGCCTCGGTAGATAATAACATTATCCTGAGGTAAGTTAAAGGGCACGACGGGAGTAAAGGTAATCGCATTGCCGACTCTTTAGCCAAAGAAGCGGCTGGACTAAGAATTTCAGGACCCAGTGGCACCTACGGCCTGATGAGTTCGACAATTGCAGAACTAGCCAAATGTTACACCCATGCTCAATCCCTAAAGAGATGGGATGAAATCAATGGATGCAATCTTGCCAGCATCACCTTGGGCGACCCTGGAAAGCTGGAGCCGAAGAAATATCTGGCGATGACCAGGAAAAATCTACGCTCAACAGTAGGATTTTTTGACTGGCTACTGTCAACTAAGGAAACACCTCCAGAATCTGGGGCTAGTGGACACACCTCTATGCAGGATGTGTGAATAGGAAGATGAGACTGTCCTATGCGAGTGCCCGGAGTTATCGTCACTGTGTGTGTTCGGCGAGTCTTGGCCTACACCTGCTGGTATATAGATCTCTCCCAGTGACCTGTCCACCTTTCTGGAAGGGACAGGAAGGACGATGAACTAGGAGGACAACTTCTCTGGAGGATGTACAATGGGTCACATGTAGCCTAAGTGCTGTGGGCTTACACTCACCCTCCCTACTCTACAGATACAGATACAGTGTATTACATCATCTGAAGAATATTTTCAATCTTCTGTTCGTAGAGATCGGTATCTACCACCGTGTGTGTGAATATTCAGGATTTCAAATGAAATCATTACAATTATGCTGACTCTATGAAACTATCTATGTATATTCAGGTCTCCGCAAATGATAACTTCTGCATATGTTTCAATCACTTCATTAAGAAATGATATTGAAAACACATTTCTTAATCTCCACATAGCAAGCCCAGCAACGAAGAAAATTTGTATATTCAAGAAACATTTTATTGTGAGATCTCAACTACATGGTTTCACAAAAACACAATATCTTCTTGATTTACAGAATTAAAAATGCTATTTTGGATAAATATCGCCACACCAAAACGGGTGTTGAAATTTTTTGAATAACTCGTTATCAAATGATAATTAGGTGATCCAATTGATGATATTTTTCAATACATTTTTTATTTTAGGGCACCGAAACAACTGCATCTTCAATCTGCTGTTTGTTCACAATGTTGGGAATGTATCCTGATATCCAGGTAAAATAATACGTGAAGTCAGTTACAGTTTGCAATATTAATGAACTACAATTTATATGTTTTTACTATATAACACAGTTGCTATTTTTTGCTCGAAGATAAAATACAAGCACTACAGAAAAAACCGCTTTAAGAGCGGTTCCTGTGTGAAAGTAGCGATTCACGTTGGATTTAAATTGCTGGAGATTAAATTCATTTGGAAAAATGTTCCGAAATATTCCGAATGGAAGAGTTCTTGAACAGTGAAGTTCGATGTGTGCTGAGTTGAACCTCAAAACTATGAGCAGTCACAGTCCGTCGCGTATTTCTGATATGTGTCAAGTCACTTGAACACCTCCCGTGAAAGTATCTATGAAAGAGTGACAAATTTCCAACTTTTTCTCGACTAACAAGGTTACAATCAAACTGAGGTTGTCCTCTTCTAGCCGACATTCTTAGTATGGCTTGAATCGTGGAATCGCTACTCAGACAATGTGCAACTTCTAGATGGATAGCTCTAACTGCCAAGCATGTGAATAGCACACCCCATCTTTTTTCGCATCTCCTACCAATTTTCACCATAATTGGGCCGAAATAGTCCATTCCAGTGTTAATAAAAGCTCTAACACCTCTCTTTAATCGTGCTTCAGGTGGTTTGTCTAGACTGGATTCTGGTTTCTCACGACTTCCGAATCTGTTTAGCCATACGTAGTCCGATGACGGACTTTGATTCAGACCTGCACCTTCTCGCTTGGACGTACGTTTCTCCATTTCGTGATCACGTCGGGGTCACCAAATGTTCCTTGATAACTATCAAACTCGGAAATGCCCAATAAATCCTACTTTTAGTCGGGATAAACTTTTAATGACTTTTCCTTTGACAAATTATCAGTAACTATCTAAAACATTTTGTTTTTTTATCTACAGGGTCGTATTTTCAATAAATAAAAGCAAACTAATAAAAGGATGAATAAATCAATATAACACTTGGTCATTGATATACAAAAAAGGGGGTGGAGACGAAATGGATCCTTGTCGATATCCATCGACGTCCACTCGCAGGGAACGCTCTTTCAGGAAGGTGGAGAGCCATACACAAAAATGATCCAACATGCCATAGCATAGAATTTGGCCAGCAAACCCTCGTGTCATACACGGTCAAAGGACTTAGAAATATCAAACGCAACCGCTCTTGACTTTCCATGTTTCTCGATTGCGTTATTCCAAATATGGATGACATACGATAGAAGGTCGCCTGTTGATCTTTGTTACCGAAAGCCATATTGATGATGGTTCAAAATGTTAAAACCTTTCTCCATGATTCTTGTTACCACTGATAGCAAAACAACTGGTTTATGGTTCTTTGGTAATCAACAATATAATATGCCGTTATTATTATGCCGTGCTCACAAGTTTCGTTTTTTCCCTCGAACGAAAAAGAGATATGACCTTCATAGACGGTTGAAATAGTATCAGGAATGCAGCTTGAAGTTCAGGATAGTGCTTGTACCAGATCTAGCATGGAATTAGGAAGTAGATGTTCGAAAAGACAGAAATAAGATACATTCAAGAATTTGACCTGATTTTGATTTTGTAAACATGAAATATATTGAAACACACTTCAGGATGACAGTCCACATGAAAAAAATTGATGAATATATCGATTACTGATCCAACCAGCACTGAGACTAGATAAGCACTAGAGAACTCAAGGCAAAGTTGATTTGTAATTTCTTATTTCAAGTCCGACTCTGGCAATTCTAATATTTCAGTGTACGGAATATCAGACTCATTCCTAATTTGAAGTGAAAATTTGTGATTATTCAGGAAACATGTGGCAATAACTGTTGAATACTCTTGAAAAGGAATTTTGCAAGAAAAATGTTGCAAGTGATGTCCCCTATACAGGATATACTACCAATCAACCAATAGCAGCTATCTTTGCTCGATCGATTGAGGAAGATATAGATATTGGTGAGTATATTTATAATCACAAATTAGTAAAGTTTAGACAATGTTAACTGATTTGAATTAAGTTTTTTGTATATTCATTACCATACGCTTAGTAGAATACAATAATGGAAAACGTGATATTCATAACATATACAATGTTGAGAAAAAGTGTAAACGTTCACGGTTACAGAGTAATTTTCCAAGTTTTTAACCGTAATCTGCTGACAACCAACTTGATAGGTAGAATGGATTCTCTGGCGTGAAATCTGGTTAACCAGCTGGTCATAGTCAACTGGTAACAGCGGAACTGATTTCAAGCGGAAAATACAACTGAGGAACGTGAATTCAAAAGTAATTACAAAAAATTATATCAGCAAAGAAGAATTCCTGCCCTATGAAGAATGTTGCGGACTGTATTGAGACAGTTCTGGAGGAACACAGTGTGAAATCAAGACCCAGGCCAACTCAAACCATCAGAAAGAGTCTGAGGTTAGCTAAAGCCCAACAAGGGTGACCTCGAAGCATATGTATGTATATATAAATGATATATATATCGTCATCGTCCATCCTGTCCTTTCCAGGAAGGTGGACAAGTCACTAGGAAACATCTCGTTTATATCGGCAGGTGTAGGCCAAGACTCGCCGAACACACACTCTCTTTGGCAACCTTGATATATCTCACGGCAGCAGCGACATTACTTCAACCTTCCTGGGGTTCCCCTAGTGAAGGTGTTCCATTGAAGGCGCTTTTCTGCAGGGGCAGTCGGTTCCTTGCCTTTATTCAAGGCGGAGATCTTAGGGCCCGCCGCAGGGCCAGCCGCAGGGCTGCATGGCCGCATATCACCATGCGGCCATGCAGCTGTCGGCAATTTTCCTTAGCTTGGGTAGGCTGGTCCACGGTGGCATGTTTCGCAAAGGCTTTTGGGAACTTTCAGTTCCCCTCACCCTACTTATTTATTTCTGCCACTGACCAGGAGTCCGGCGATCCCGTCCATAAGGCCACATTGAATATGAATTAGCGAATCATGTACCTAGAGAAGATACGCATATTCAATCTCATCCGTTATCTGCTACATATCGACCTTGCAACTTTAATAACTAAATTGAGAACTTGAAATTCACAGCTGCCATCCTAAGAGCGCCCGTACACGAGCCACATTTTGCGGTCGGATCGACCACACAATTGCAGTCGCGTTCTAGCGAACTCAAGCCACCCATAAGAAATAATGTACTACACATACACGGGTATTCACCACAGTCAAAACGAACGTCTGCCGTCAACTTGCTGCTGATCTCCGCCGAGATGTCATCGCGGCATCCGCCGTACACTAACCACAAACTTGCAGTCGAACCCAACCGCGTACACCGTGGTGTACTTTTTCTCATATTGGTCTCACAGCATTCAATTTTTGATGTCAGTTGCCTCAACTGCAAGTGCGGTTTATATGACCGCAAGTCGACAACAAAAATGTGGTTGGGTCAACCGCGAAGTGTAGTCAACGTGACCACAATGTTGTGGTCACGTTGTGGTTGTCTCCGTGTACGGCCGGACTAACTTCACTTGGACACACGTTCTCGCCAGAATACTTGATCTGAGTAGATTTCTTTTGGATCATATAGGATCATAGAGGGTGTATCAAAAAATGAGGTTGAGAAATCTTTGGAGATGATAGGTTTGTTCTGGTTCTAAGATCCGAAACCGTTTGGAAACTGCGCAGAACATGATGCGTATAAACAAAAAAGTTTCAAACAGTCCGAAATAGTCTTGGACACTTGTTTAGACCAGAACGCTTTTGAGGAGACGACTGTGCCACCTATCGTATATATGGAGAGATGAAGACGAGAAAATACTATTGATCATGTACATTTTGTTATGTAGCGGATCCTTATAATCAGTTCAAATGTTATCTACCTTCAATCATCAATTATTCAAATAAAATAAATAAAAAAACATCCTAGCAAATAGCCCAAAAAAATTTCCACATGAATGCGCATCAGCAACGGGAACAGTTCTCAACAGTTTAGCCTTGAGAGCAAGAACGATTTGGGACGGTTCGAAACAGTTTAGGATCATTTCGCAGTCGAAACCAGGACGGAGGATTCATCAGTTCGAAGTTATCCTCAATAAACCAGAACGCTCTATATCAACTGCGCATGATCCTGACGTCCTATAACCTAAATTTCGTAGAACCAGAACAAACCTGATAATTATTGGTGGAAAGTATTCCATACAATTGAAACTAGTTGATAAATAAATTATAACCAATTCATGAATGACCAATAAAAACAACACAAAAAGTGGGAAGCGACCAATGCAATGATTTATTTTTTGGAAATAGTTATCGTAATATTTTTTGGCTTTTGCAAAGCTGTTGAAACAATAAACCGTAGTGTTCGGTAAGAATTCCTAAACCTTATTAAGGACTACCTAACTGATAGTACACAAGTAGATGAAATATATCAAATTTTGAGTCTCAGTAATTTCGTTGAAAAGGGGGTACTTCAAGGAACAGTAGTGGGTCCAACATTGTTTCGAATGTATATCAATAAGTTATCAAAAATAAAAAATCTTCAACAAAACCTGATCTGCCATGCAGAGGATACTGCCTTAATATTCTCAGTAAATGAATGGGATGCAGAAAACAATTCAGAAAAAATTAAACTGTGTCTAAATGACGACATAGTTGATCCAAATACATAACTTTTTTCCAAATGTTGTCACGCAATCATCCATTGTCCAAAAATACAGAAAACTAATACAATGAGATACTTTGGTGTCGAAACAAACCAAACGTTTCATTTATGGAAAAAAAGATGTCGAACGCTGTTTTATAAATATTAAAAATAATAAAAAAAGATCTCGGATCATCTTTCTATTTCGGCTCTAAGCTACACAACTCACTTTCTACTGAAATAAAATGTATGAAAAAGTTTGTTAATCACAAGCAAGCCATAAACAATCAGATTTCTAGTAATCCTAGTAAATTCAGTGTCGTTTTTCTATGAAAATATCTATGAGAAGAACCATACTTTCTTTTTTCTGCTTTTTCTATTATTAATAGTTGAAATATATATACTTTGATTTTGATGTTTAGTTTAGGTACATGTCAACAAAATTTGAAGGGTTATTTACCAAAGCTTTGTCAATAAGAACTGTCCTTTGGACAATAAAGCATATTTATTATCATTTTTTTTCCCCGTAGTGTGCGCTGGTCAGGCCCTATCCCCGAAGCCCCGATACATTCGGGAGGGCACGCCAGCATTATCAAGTAATGACCACTCCCCACACCGTGGGGTGAGTGATCATTGAGCCAAGAATGAGCAGTGAGCCAAGAATGACAGCCTTCTGCATCTGTGTGGCTAAGATTTCTGCCTTAGTGCGGCAAGCCGGTATGATTTTAAGTTTCGAGAGTAGAGAGGACATCATTCCACCAAGGACTCCAATAATCAGAACAACCATCTTGACTTGAATAGAGTCTGCGGAGTTCGAAGAGAAAATATCGATATTTTATCCGTTTTTCCTCCTCTTTTCTGGCGATATTCGTCTCGTCAGGAGCTGAAAACTCCACGATAAATATCGTTTTGCTCTGGTGGTCGAGGAGGACCACATCAGGCTTATTAGCTTGTATGAGCCTGAGGGTGAAAAACGAATAGTTCCAATAAATTCGGTACTTCTCGTTCCCCATAGCGGATTCAATATCCCCCGGAGCGTATGGCAACACCGATGTTTTGTCAATACCGTAAGAGTGCCGTAGATGGTAATATAGCACTCTTAGGGCCGCGTTATGTCGATAGATATAAGCCGAGACCGCATATGCTGAACTTGCTGATAGCAAGTGCATTACGGTCTCGGGCGCCTCGCGGCAGGCCCTGCACCTTGTGTCAGGAACCTCTATACCCATCACGCGACTGCGGTAGACTAAGGTGTTGAAGACACCATCCTGGCAAGCAATTATTATTATTATTTATTATAAAGCCAAACAAAATGCCTAGATGACATTGTATTATACTGTATCCTCCAATCTACATTATACAACGGACTATATAATGAACTATGTACCTTCTTCAAATATAAAAATGATGAAAGAATGTTTCCATTTAAATGTAAAATTGTATCAATAACACCACCGTGTTCCTTAAAAATATACTATTCGCTTTGAATTGAAATTACTTTTCACAGGGGATGCAATCTTACCAGCAGGAAGTTCTGTTGCCTTTAACACCGTCCACATTCATCGCAATCCTGAATACTGGGTGGATCCACTAAAATTTGACCCGGATAGATTTTTACCAGAAGAAGTTGCCAAACGACATCCATGCACATATATTCCATTTTCGTACGGACCTAGGAACTGCATAGGTACTGGGATTTTTATTTGATGATTCGGTCTTTGAAATTTTGGTGAAAGATGAATTCAAAACTAGAGATATTTCAATTTCTGGAAATGTATCCCAAGTAATTATTTTTTGAACCCACTATGTTTTGAAGTTAGAGTTACCTCTAAGGAAGAAGTGAATTCTTATGATTCTACTCAACTGCAACTAAAGACCTCTTTATGCAGGAGGATGTAGAGAAATCCGCATCTGGTGACAGCAGCTGCCAAATTGATTTGATAAAAAAAGGCGGCAATGAAGAGAGGGCACAAAAGGGATTTGGCAAAATCATATTTTTCTTTAATTTAATTACAGATAGACTTGAAAGACGTAGTATTACAGTGGTGACTACGGCGGGATTACATACATATTAAGTTGAGTTACTACAGGTGGTGACGATAGCTGGGATCATAACAAAGGGATGACCGGATTATTTCACTGGTGGCTCAGTCAAAGTCCAGTCATTACAGCGTTTCAAAAATCAAATCCCTTTTTTAAATTTGATGCACTACGTACCAGTTTCGTTACGCCAGGTTCGATGACGACTTGTCCCGTTTCATCATGCCTTCTTTCCTCTCGTTCAATGTCTTATCTTATCTTTATTATTAACTGTGAAGTTTCTATATTGTATGCACCCCAAAACCCCCAATTTGTTTTCAGGATACATTAAAATCTGAGTTTTTTTCAGGTTGGAAATATGCCATTGCCAACATCAAAACGATAATTTCAACTGTCATCAGACGGTACAGGATTTTCACTGAATACAAATCCATAGAGGAGATAGACTTGAAAATAAACCTACTGCTGAGGATGAAGGATGGACCAAAAGTGTGGTTAGAATATAGAGGACAAGAGCACTGAAAATGATTTTCGTGGGACTGGAAAATATAATACCAACAGGTTGTAACACTTTTAGTCACCATCTACTTTTGCAGCTTCAGGAAGATATTGGTATCACAGGAATCTGCTTGCAGCTCTTCAAAAAAGTTATTTTAACAATAGAACTCAGTCTGTTAATGTTGATAGTGTACTCAGTGACGTGAAGCTGATTGATTATGGAGTACCACAAGGTACAGTTCTAGGGCCTATGGTTGTTTGAAGGTGATTCGTTATTATAAACTTATTATGGATGTCTGAATTGTAACCAATACATAAATGAATTTACAAAATATATTGAATAACAAGAGCTCTTTCGATTCTTCAATACCTTGTCTCGTAAAAATCAATTAGAAGGTCTTGGAAACCAATCTCATATTATGATATAGGTACCAATCCAATCCATCCAACCACTCCTGTATGGTCCTTTCTTTTCCTCTATTGACATTGTGAGCGAAACTGTTCTTTTTCACTTACTCGAAGGCACGCTTGTGGACTAAACTTCGAATCAACCCGAAAAGTGTACTTCCTGATAGTTTTGAATACCCAACTGAATGTCTCCTAATGCTAGGGGAAAATGTCATTTCAAACTTTCCAATGCCTTTAGTATTGGGTGCTAAGTATTTGATGCTAACAGGCTGTTGGTAATAGTCCTTCCATTTTCTTCAGCTCGATTGCTCGAAGTGCTTTCTTCATGTCATCGAGACCCTAAATTACGAAGCATACCATCTAAAAAGAAAAGTTTCATGAAATTATCACAAGAAGACTACCCTAGCGATGTGTAAAGTTGGAGGGTGCTCCACTGACAAGAGCTAGGCTCTCAAGTAGAGAAGAAAAACCTATGGATAAACGGACATAGGTATGTCATTTTGCCCAGAGTGTTGATCTGTTATTTTTCTCAACAGACTGTTGAAATAATAATACATTAACAATTTTTATAGAAAAACTGTTGTCCGTATCAAAACTGAGTGAAATCACAATTTAATACAAAAAATGAGAAATATAACTGTGTATGTTTGTTACCGCTTTTATTTGTAACTAACATTACTGCATTTGTTTGAAAGTGGTAGACAGTGTTTCGTGGTGTATTTCATGAGTTCGGACTTCCATTGTGTAATATAATATAAATTGATTTGAAATCTCTGAAAAAAAAAGATTAACCGAAAATAACAATTTTATCAAACAAAAAACTGAAACGACAAAGAAATAACATACAAGCAACAACCAAAAAAAAAATTGAAATATTATTAAAAGCTGAAAATTAAAAACTATTTATAACAACTCTGACCATTGGAGAAGCCCACAAGAAGCCCCGAGTCTGGTTGAGATACGTAGACAACACCTTCATAATATGGATCCATGGGAATGCAGAACTAGACACTTTCCTGAAGCACATCAACAACATAAGTCCTTCCATCACTTTCACAATGGAGAAGGAAGTCTACAACAAATTGCCTTTCTGAGACGTTTTGGTGAAGAGGACCGACACTAAATGGGAAACATCTGTATATCGAAAACCCACTCACAGAGGACAGTATCTGAACCAGAAATCCAACCACCATCAGTCGACTAAGAGATGAATCATCAATACTCTACTAGACCGTGCTTTCGGGCTCTGTAATACAAAGGAAGGTATCGAAAAGGAACTAGGCATCATCAAAAATGACCTTCAACGAAATTGTTACTCCAGAGTGATGGTAGAACAAGCTTTAGCTGGAAGACAGCAAGAGATCCACAAGGAAGAGAAGCCGCCACAACCAGTACTTGTACTCCCCTACATCAGAGGATTATCAGAAAGGATAAGAAGGATTGGGTCCAAGTACAACATCAGGACCTGCTTCAGATCTGGGAACACTATCCGTGGCAGCCTCACGAAAACGAGGCCACCAAACGCGGACTGCGATTCCAAGAATTGCATTTACCGGATACCTTGCGAGTGCGGAGAATCATACATCGGTGAAACTAAGAGGCCATTTGAAGTTCGCATTGCTGAGCACAAGAAACACACATAGCGAGGAGAAACCAACAAATCCGGAATAGGAGAGCATGTTTGGACTCATCAACATAATATCAAGTGGGCTCAAGCTGAAATCATTCACAAAGAAGAACACTGGTTCGAGAGAAAATTCAAAGAAGCCGCGTATATGTTGTCTGAGAACGCTTTTAGTCAAGCTAGCATAAAAACATAGAAAGTTTTATTTCTCATTTTTCATGATGATTTCCTACCACATAGTAACAGATACATCCATCAATTTACATTCATACTGATTTATAGCTCGTCAAAACAGTTTTGACGAGCTATAGTCTTCCTAGTTACTAGGAACAGACTAGAGAATTCTATCTCTCTCTCTCTGTCTCATACACAGTCTCCTAAAGAACGCGCATCTAGAAAGCGGGACGATATATTAATTCAGTAAGGTCTTCCTATATTTGACAAGCTGTATGTTCAAATACTACAAGAAAAAAAATTCGAAAGTCACTATATGACGAAATGTTACATTGTCACATTGTGCCAATGTTACATTGGCACGACTGAGGCAATGGCGCTAGAAACGTCACAGGGTTAGAAATATGTCTAATTTCACGTGGTATGATGTCAAACGCCGCGCTGAAGCCCGCTAGTTTCGAAAATAGCCGGGTGTGTCATTTTGTCCGTACTTCTCCTACAATTTTCAAAATATTCAACAACATTGAATTTTATATTCATATACTGACCAAGCTCATCCTTAGTTCAATCAGGTTAGAGCCTAGCTCCTTTATCCTTGTAGCTGATTTTTATCAGAAAGACAAATGGGTTCATGACTAGGATGATGGCGTTATGAAAGTCCTCAGACATTGATAAGACGATAGTTCTGTGGGAACAGCAGGTTCTGACCCTCTTCTGGGATCATGACGACGATTGCATGCTTCCACCTTCTGGAGAAGTATCTAAGGGTCAACGAGCTGTTAATGATATGTAGTAGGTTTTCGACGCAGTTTTCCGGAAGCCTCTTCAACAACTTATTTGTTATTGAATCGGCCCCCGAAGCTTTCTTGGCCTGTACGGCCTTGATTTCAGCTCTTCCACAGAAGCCGGGCGGATGTTATCACCGTCATCTTCCCTGAGGATGCGGTGAACCCGATCTTTCAGCAGAATATCGCGCTCAATGTCGTCATTGTCGTCAATGTTAAGTTGAAAGTGACGTTCCATCAAGTCGGCAAAGGCCAACGCTTTGTTGGCGGGGGAGTAGCACACTCCGCGCTCTCCGTGAATGGGTGAGGAAGCAGTCTTCATCCCTTTGAGTCTGCGGGTGAATCGTCAAAGCTCGTTATCCCCAGGCTCAAAGGATTCCAAGAGCTCCTCCCACCTTTCGTTCAGGTGATAAATGATGACCTGTTTGACTTGATTGGCCATCCTACTTGCCGCAATTTTATCTCCTGGGAAAAGGGTTCGTTGATAGAGCATTCTCAAGCGATTTCTCTTTCGAATCAAGGTTTTGATACGAAACTCAATAGTAGCTCTTCAGCGGACACTTCTCCCTGGAGATGGCCGGTCGAAACGCGTCATTCCATATACTGAATCAGGTGAATAACTAGTATATTTGGCATTTTTTTATAGGAAAAGCTATTCAGTATTAAAGTTCAGAAAAAAACCTTTTCTTTTAAACTTTTGAGAAAATTGGTAAACTAATAGCATTCTAGAAAAAGTGAAGTGAAACTAGTGAAAAAACTTGAATTTTTAGTTGAACCATAAGTACATATTTCGGCATAGTGTACCGCTATATTGCCATAGCATACGTTGGGTACATGAAAACACTAGCTTCAAGTATCTTTGAAGCACATTCTAATAAGATTCTTGAGATAATGGCATTGAAGGCATAGGAAATATCATTTCTTCTTGTAAAACCTTGAACTTTCGTGGTCAAAAAAATAATCCAGTGTCAAGAAAATGCATTACATTGTTGCTGGCGGAATACAATTTCGCATTCATTCATTATTGCAGAACAAATGCAAGGCTAACCAGTCATTTTTTTCGATTCGAATAACTTCGATATACTTTGATACTTTTTCCTTTCAAGAGATCATTAGGGATTTTATCTTCATTATGGAATATAGCAGATATAAATATTGTGTTTATTTACATATATTCCAATTTTAATTTTTTTTTGTTCCAGAAACATAATTATTTGAATCAACTAGACTGATATACCTGAGTATTTACAGTCAGTTGATAAGATGTAATATTCGTACAGAATGTTCTTAGATACTGGATGTCAAAATAAACAGGTTGAGGTGACAGATCATTACAGTTTGAAATAGAACATAACGGGTTTCCAAATGATTTTGTACTACAGAGTCCAATTTGGAATCCCTCAAAGTCCATGAATTATTAAAATCCTTAGAGAAAAGCCTTTCTCATTTTTTCGGCGAAAGATTCATATAGATAGTAACAATTCCTTTGAAAACTATGGCCTTTTTTGTGAAAAAAGATACCTTGTTTATCAAATACTTATGACTGACTGAAAAAATAATTGAAAAACAACTCCAGCTGACACTTCGCCCATTCGTATATACAAATAAGATATCCTTTATCTCTTGTGAAGAATGAAGTCGATTATTATTATTATTATCATTAAATGAGTGCACCAATACACAATAACTATATCCATTTGAAAATATGAATAAAACAATTATCATCAGTCTTTATTGACACTTCTAAATATAACCTCAGTCTTCGTAAAAAACGCATACAGTTACCACTGAAAAGCTTTTCAAAACAACGCAACGGATTTTGATACGGGTTTTTCAAATAGATAATAGAGTGTTCCAAGAGGAAGATTTATATACAGTGTGACCCATTTTTAATGGAAACGCCCCCCTAAAGTTTGTAGTTGTAAACCGATTTCAATAATATATTTCAAATACTAAAAGGTCTACCTTGGGACAAAATTTGAAATGTTTATTAAAGGTTCAGGGCATACTACGATATTTTTTCTTAGACGAAAATCGGGATTTTTTATTAGCGATTTTTTTATTGAAAAAATCACTACGCCACTAATGTAAATTAAGTTTAACTATCTTCACTAAACGACGATACAGGAACCAAACTAATCAACCCAACCAATAGGAACGAAGCCATGCCTAACACTGATGAAATTTAACCGGAAACCGGAACCATGATAGTAAACATTATGTGACTCTAACTTATAAATATTATTGGAGTTGAATCCCAACACTAAGAGGAAGATGATCACTTGGTAATTGAAACATGTCAAGCCATCCGCAACGCCCTCCGCAGGGAGGGCGTTGTGTAGCTTGGGTGTCCAATAGTAGATTTCATCGCGTGTTCTTGACAGTCTAAAGAACAAATAATAATTTTCG